GGAGAGGGAGAGAGAGTGATAGAAACATCAATGATGAGAGAATTGTCATTGATCAGCTGCCTCCTGCAGGCCCCCAACTGGGGATCGAGCCCGCAACCTGGGCATGTGCCCTGACCGGGAATCAAACTGTGATCTCCTGGATCCCAGGTCGACGCTCAACCGCTGAGCCACGCCTGGCTGGGCTTTATTTTTCATTTTAAAAAGTTGATTTGAGAGAGAGAGGGAGGAAGGGAGGGAAGGAAGGAAGGAGAGAGGACCCACAACCTTGGCACATGGGGGCAATGCTCCAACCAACTGAGCTACCTGGCCAGGGCCTCAAATCCAATTTTATTACCCCTACTTTTCCATCCCTTAGTACCCTCCAAGTGTAGGGTGACCATGCTTCCTGGTTTATACTTGTTGTGGTATAACTGTTAATAGGGGAGGGGGAGGGTTGAGGAAACCTGAAGACAACCTCCATTCTAGGTTCATAAAAGGCAATTTTTGAGGTGGGCAGGTTGGGAAGAGGGGTCAGTGCAGAGGGACAGAGAAGGAATATTCTATAAGATTAAGACTCTGGTTTAGTATTCTTCAAACTCCCTGGCAGTGGTTGGGGGAAGGAATGGCTAGTAGGTCCTCTAGGAAAAAATGATGATGTGGGGCCTTAGGAAGGGGCTGGGGCAAAGTATCCTGATCCTGAGTGACCTTGAAAACAGCAGAGCCATGAGTACTTAAGAGACCATGTGACCTTGCCCAATGAGCTTAGCAGAAATTGTGTGGACCCAAGTCCAGAGTGTCCTCTCAGAATATTCCTCTCTGCCTAAAACCTGGGGACATTTGCTGGGGGGAGATGGGGAGGGAAGGTTGTGAACTTACCAATAATAGCTGAGATTGAATTTCCAACCATCTCAATGAGATAGGACCTTAGAATAAGAGTCAATTTTATTTTTGAAAAATAAAGGTAAGATTTCATATACACCCTAGTTTATAGAAGAAGTTAAGGGCCTACCACAGAGTATTGTCTATCACTGAACTAAGGCCACCAATATAACAGAAGCATTGTTTCAAATTGTTTTGTATAAGGGTAGGGTACTACAAGTATAAAACACACTAAAACAAGTGTAAAATTACAGTCTCAAGTTATGTAAGGGAATGTAGGAGGGATTATAATAATAGTAATACTACCAGAAAGACATTTTATTTTGCAAAGAAATGCATCACTTTTGTTAGTAGAATTAGAGAACACCACCAATTGCTGGCAGGGTCAGATTGAGACCACATTGTATTGTATTTAAGTTGAAGGGCTTCCAAAGTTTTCAACTTATGTCCCCTTTGAGAACTTTCCTGGACACAAATGTACTTTCATTTCTCCAGGAAAACACAACAAAATGAAAGTTAGCTATTCTTGAGGTGTTTCTGAAATCAAAGCCTATTGGTTCTCTCTTAGCCCCCTGTATAGATAAAGGCTCAGAGGGAGACAGTTTTCCCTTAGCATCTTCCATTTCCTATGATGATGCCTCAGAACACGTCTAACACTGACAGCTGTGCCTCTAGGGTCTTTTAGAAACTCTAATGGGAAACTCCCTGTAGGGCAATGTCTCTATTTGAAAAATGTACAAACAGAATTGAACAGGCCCACTTTCTAGAGATCAGTGGGTCGCTAAGATAAAGGAAGTAGGTGAGATGGAAAAGTTGACCATGTGTTTTTCACTGGGTTGAGGCACAACAATATAGACAGAAATAGCAACTGGTACTGAAGTTTCTGCATGCAGCACACTTTAATATTCATAGTGTTTGACTAAAGCATGAATTTGTTTTGTAGATGAAATCTGTGCTGATGCCACCAGTTCCAATAGATAAAGAAAGTTCTACTGACTTGAAGAAAAGTAAAGGACATATGTCTGGGGGAGTCAGATTAAGTGGATCCCCTTCTGAATATTTAACAAAACACGAGTGGGAACAGGTAGGTAATCAAACTGTTCACCAAAGTGGTGAAGCAGACGCAGCATAGATGATGTTGTCCCTTACAATATAGAGATAAAAAGTGACTTACCTTTATACGCAGATCATATCTTTTTCTCTGAATTCATTGCTATATTTTTAACAGCTTTATTGATACCACATACCACATAATGTACTTATTTAAAGTATATGATTCAGTGGTTTTTGATATTCCCACAGTGGTGTACAGTTATCACCACAATCTAATTTTAGAACATTTTCATCACCTAATAAAGAAACTCCACACCTATTATCAGTCACTCTCAATTTCCTCCCCACCCCTCACTCTTCCAGCCCCGCTACCCCTGCTCCCCTCAGCCTTAGGCAACCATTAATCTACTTTTGGGCTTTATAGGTTTGCCTTTTCTAGACATGTTACAATACATGAAATCTTGTATCTGGCTTCTTTTACTCAGTCAGAGTAAAATAAGTACTTTTGCTTTGTGCTTTTGATACTGTATCCAAGAAGCCATTGCCAGTTATAGTTCTATTCAGATTTTCTATTTCTTCTTGAATAGTTCGTATATTGATAGTTTTTTGTTTGTTTTTAAATATATCTTTATTGATTTCAGAGAAAAGAAAGGAGAGGGAGAGAGAGAGAGAAACATCAATGATGAGAGAGTCATTGATCGGCTGCCTCCTGCATGCCCCCGACTGGGAATGGAGCCCGCAACCCAGGCATGTGCCCTGACCGGGAATTGAACCCCAATCTCCTGGATCCTAGGTCGACGCTTAACCGCTGAGCCACTCCCGGCCAGGCGGTAGTCTTGATAGTTTGTGTCTTCCTTTAAATTTGTCCGTTTCATCTAATTTGTTGGCCTAAATTTGAAATATATATATATGGGCAAAAGTAGGTTTATAGTTTGAGTACATGAAACAGAGTTTATTCTTGTATTATTATTTATTAATTTGTATTTTTCCATATGAACAACTGTATATATTTCTGTATGGTCAGTAGTGATGTCCCCTCTTTCATTTCTGGTTTAAGTAATTTGAGTGTCTTTTGTTTTCTTGGTTTTATTGCGTTTTTAGTGTTTTTTATTTTCTCCTTTATTTATTTTGGCTCTAACCTTTATTATTTCTTTCCTTCTGCTTGTTTTAGATTTAGTTTGCTCTTCTTTTTCTAGTTTCCTAAGGTGAAAGTAATGTCACTGATTTGAGATTTTTTTCCTTTTTTAATGAAGCTATAAATTTCCCTGTACATACTGCTTTGCTTTAGCTCTATCCCATAAGTTTTGCTATGTTGTGCTTTCATTTTCACTCATCTCAAAGCATTTTTAATTTCTCTTGGAATTTCTTCTTTAATTCATATGTTATTTAGGATTGTGTTGTTTAATTTCTGCATATTTGTGAATTTCTCATTTTCTTCTCATTGATTTCTACTTGAATTTAATTGTGGTTGGAGAACATACTTTGCATGAGATTTAAATCCCTTTAAACTCGATTGAGGCTTTTTTATGGCCTAGCATATGGTCTATCTTGGAGAATGCTTCATGTGCTCTTGAGAAGAAAATATATTCTGTTCTTGTTGAGTGGAGTATTTTATATATCTGACTTTGAACATATATATAACAGTTGCTTTGAAATTTTTGTCTGCTAAGTTAACATCTAATCTTCCCAAAGGCAACTTCTATTGCCTGCTTATTTTTCCCTGTGTATTTTTTTCTTTGCATGTCTTGTCATTTTTTTGTTGAAAACTGAACATTTTAGGTAATATATCATAGTAACTCTACATAGATATTCCCATGCTATTCTGGGGTTTGTTGTTATATGCTTGTTTGCTCATTTATTTGTTTAGTGGCTTGTCTGGACTAGTTCAGTGTGTAACCTCTGATGTCACTCCTCACAGGGTGCTGCTGCCTTGGGCATGCACACAGTTTCCCTGACTACCAAGGATGGTTGTAGTTTTAGGTAGGCTCTCTGACTCTTTTCCTGGTTTCCCCTTTAAGCTTTGGCCCATCAGCCTCTATTTGCATCAAACCCAGCTGTTAGCCTTCACTCTAATTGCTATTGTTTTTAACAGTGCCCTGGGGCTCCACAATCTGATCCCATTAAAGTTAGACTCCTTTGCAGGAGCAGGGTGTCCACAATCTTTGAGACTTATTCTGGCCCCAAGAGGGCTACTCTCATCTGTCCCATACCCTGATTCTGTTAAACTTCTAGCTGGTCTACTCTTACTCCTAGTATCATGGAACTACCAGCTTTCTTCTAATTGCTTACCCCCAAGAAGCTTCTAGTTCTTAATTCTGTATCCTACCTTGATTGCTGAAAATGTTGACTAAAACATGATTTCTGATGTAAAATATACTCTAATCAATGAAGAGAAAGAGAGAAAGAGAGGTGGAGAGATAGGGAAAGAAAAGGGTTAATAAGAGAGAATTTGTCACTGGCTTGTGCATCCAAAGTATCTAGAAATCAAGTAAGTCTAAGCAAGTAGGAAAGGACGCCTCCTTAAATTTTGACATCTAAATTCCAAAGACCAAAGGTTAGAATAACCACTGCTAGGATTATGGTTAATAAGAAGGAGCATGCCAAAGAGATTAGAGTTGCATAAAAAGAATACCATGGTCTCTGGAAACCTAGATGAGTTAGGATTATAGAGAGAGGTCGCTTTAAGAAGTGGGAGGGGGAAGACTGGGGGTCATTATTCTATAATAGAACCTTCCCCCACCCCAACAATATAGATGAGGCATCTTACAGACTCCTTGTATGTGACTGTAGTTGACACAGGATAAAATGGACCAGAATCTCATTCTCAATATTTTAACAATTTCAGTTGTATCTTTAATTTTCTTTCCCCAGTTCCTGGCACATAGTGGACATATATACTTTAGTTTCCTAGAGTTGAAATTTCCAGATAAAAACAGATTTCACAATTACTTTATTTCTTAATATCTGTGAGCTATTTTATAATAAAGATCATAGGTTCTTTATGTGTTCTATTCTCAGGAAATACATCATTCTTGACATTCACATACATCATTTGTCTTACCTTATGTTCACTGAGAATTGGGGGATATATGTATTCATAGCTAAGTTATTATAGAGAGACAAGTGGGATACTCTTCCTTTAGGACAGACTTGCAAAAATAAGGAGACCAGAGAGGTTTAAAAATAAATTTAATTATTTATATCCTAAGTGACTTCTTTTTCAATTTATTCATCTAATGTAAAATATCACACAAAGCCTGACCCGGCGTGGCTCAGCGGTTGAGCGTCCACCTGGGATCCAGGTGATCGGGGTTCGATTCCTGGTCAGGGCACATGCCCAGGTTGCGGGCTCGATCAATGACTCATCATTGATGTTCCTATCTCTCTCTCTCCCTCTCCTTTCCTCTCTCTGAAATCAATAAAGATATATTTAAAATATATATATATCACACATCCATGTTGCTGTATAGGGTTGTATAGACCAAATCATATATACTGTGCTTTAAGGGTAATTTAAGAGGTTTTCTGGGGGTAATTTTGGCTATAAATGACTTGTATCTCATGTAGGAATTTAAATCTTAATCCCTCCTTATAAAAAATAACTTTGTGTTCCATATTTTTTCCTTTATTATACTAAATGGCAAATCATATCGTCCAAACACGAATTTATGGTGTAAGAGCAAGATATGAATTCAGTTTAAAATGCAAGTGTTATTCTTATCATAAACACCAGCGAAGTAAATGGGTTCCATTGTATTTCTTTGTAGGGTAGGGTCATGCCAGTGTTGGAATTCAGTAGGGGAGAAAGGAGAATTCTCTTTAGGTGATTTTAATCTCACTTTAAGCAATCATCAAAAACTCTGAAAGTGTCTGGAATGTGCCTGGTGCAGGGTTGCTCCAGTTCTGATCAGGTGCCTCTCATTCCAGAGCAGTTCTCCAACCAGTTCTGTTCTTTTCTCTACTGTCTTTTCCTTCAATGATTTCTAGCTCCCCTTCTATGCCAAACCTATAAATAGCTATACAGTCATGTTTAGTAGGACAAACACTTCTGATCTTCTTAAGACCCACTAGAGTAACTGTACAACTTAAAATGCATGCTTTTTCATGCCCTCAAAAGAAACACATGGAAAATATAGACTCTTAGAATCATAGTTTGTTAGAACTTTGAGATACTTTACAAGTTATCTGGCCTAAACTCCTGATTTGAAAGATCTAGAAACTGAGACCCAGAGAGTTTTCTCACAGTTGCACATCTTTAGTGACAAAGTTTGTTTTTGTCACTACTGTTTAAGCTCCTATAGGAGACATTTGAATAAGGAAAACATATACATAGATTGCAGCTACAAACAGGAAGCCCCTAATTTTCTACTAAAAATATTCTTAGAAACTTGGGACTTTGGTCCTGGGCATCATGTAGCCTGCATTTACTTATTTCAGCCCAAAAAGGAGATGTTATGCTAATAAAATACTTGTGGATTCAGGAGAACACATTGTGGAAACCAGTCAGTGGCTAAATGTATTGTTGAAACTGAGATGTACTTATAAGAGGGCATAAAGTGAAGGGGATGCTTTAGGAGGTATTCTTGGATAAGCAGTTGTCTATATTTGTGATGGGAAAAAGGCTTCCTCACATGATGTACTCAACAGTACAAACATCAGGGCCAAAGCCACAACTGAGAGACCTGCCTTATCTCTTTGGACATATTAAGAACACCACCTAATGTGTATTCATTGTGGGGAAACTACTTTTTCCTTTGAACATGACAATGAGGTTCTTTTAAGAGAAAAGACCTTTTGTAGATTCAGCAATTGTGAAACATTTGTGATGGATTTTTTAAATAAAGTCAAGAGCTGATTGTTCATGATTACTAAGTATTGCTACATTAGTTACTATTATTGCAACATTGGGTATTGGGGATGAGCAGAAAGGGGTTGGGGTGGCTTTGGCATTAAAATTATTCTTGAAAAGATTCATGGAGGAGAAAAATATGAAACAATTTTGAAGGAGGAATGAGAAATAGAATTTGGAATAACATGGGTTAGTATTTCTGGAAAAGAAGTTGAAATCTAGAAAGATAAACTGTCACTTGTAAGTAGCAGCCTAATCTGGTTTGTTGTTTCAAGGTTATCGATATTCTGTGGAGTGATCCTAGAGGGAAACGAGGCTGTTATCCAAACACATGTCGAGGAGGGGGCTGCTATTTTGGGCCAGATGTTACCTCCACATTTCTTGGTAAAAACCACTTGAAGCTGCTCATTAGGTCTCACGAATGTAAGCCGGATGGGTATGAAATCTGCCATGAAGGGAAGGTAAGCTAACATTGTTGGTGACATCATCACAGACACCCTTGCCCCGAGCACAGTCTTTCTTTACAGGATGTGTCTCACCTAGAGGCCCATGGAAAGATGTCTTCCCTAGTGCAGAAAGAGAAGGCCACACTTTTGGTAGACATAAATAGGAGACTGTAGGGTTTACGCAAGTTGTTGCAAGGGACCTCTTTGTCCCTAACCCTAAGGGATATCTGGTTTATTTCCCTAATCTTCCCTAACCCAAAGATAGAAACTCTGACGTGTGACACTAAGTACACACACAGAAAGGCTTTTACTAATCTCAAGGCAACTCTCCGGTACAGTGGGGTTGAGAATGCACTTATCCTCACTGAGCACGTAAAAGGCAGCAGTGAATCCAGTTGGCGCACCTTTGCACGTTCCCGGTGTAGAACGGAGCAACAAAACACACTTCCCTTCCACTCACTGAGTAGGTGGTCCCTAGGAAGTCACTCGCTGGGGCCAGTTCAGCTGCAGCCACTAAAATGGAGTGTGTTGTGCTCCTGCAGTGTGGTGTGTGATAAGGCTAGAAGAGGTGAGGACTGAGGAACTGGTTTCTTGTCCCCAGTTGTCCTAGGATGTCCCTCTTTCTAATACTCAACAGTGATAAATACAAAAGAATACCAGTTTGCATGGCGTTTCCTTCTATTTCAACACTTTTACTTTTCTTAACTCTATTTGTTCATTTGAAGCTTATACTAGCAATTGCAAGGTGGTTAAGACAAGTATTATTTAGGATTTTTTCGTAATAAGAAAATGGAGAGAAAATAGCAATGGCTTGTCTCAAGTGACATGCTCATTAAGTCAGAACTTGGCCGAAGCCAGGTTTCCTGTCACTGACAGATGTTACCCTCCCATCTTCCACCACAGCCCCAAGGCTAACAGAGTGGTTGTGGTCCCTTATTTTAGCCACTATTTCTCTGCCCTTAAAGCACTGTTTTTGTGGGGGTCCCTGAGTCTTCTAAATCTGTCCATTCAAAGCAAAAGAAAAAGACTGTGATGCTAGACAAGTTTTCTTTTGAATGTTCAAATATCACAAGGAAAGAAAATAAATGCTTTACCCCCTTGGAAAATTAGAATTTGCAAAACCGAGCATTAAGGAGGATTTTAAGATACAAAGCTGAAATTGTACACAGGATTACAAGGCCATACACTATGGAGATGAGGGCTAGAAGTCAGTACTTGTGGGGACTCTGATTTAAAAGCCATGTTTCTCTGCAATGGAATCGCAGGAAATCTTGTCAATCTTGGATGATTTGTATGGATTTTGAACTTTGATTTTTTCTTTTGTAAGACTTGAGCTATTTCTGACTTTATTGAAGGACATTTTGAGAACTAACTCTGTGTGAACCTGACCCTCTTTTTCTTTAATTAGGTTATTACAGTTTTTTCTGCTTCTAATTATTATGAAGAAGGCAGTAATCGAGGAGCTTACATCAAGGTGGGTTTTCGTACAGCCCTTCGATTTTTCCAGTACCAAGTAACAAAGGCAACGTGCTTAAGACCTCTTCACCAAAGGTGTGTATACTCTAAGGGGAATTCTGAACACTGGTACTGGTGACCAAGTAGAACCAATGCAGAGTGACTAAGAGCAGCCAAGAGAGTTAAGACAACTACTTATTGGTTACTCATTGGTATAAACAAAATGGAAATAGTTCCAGACACCAAGTAGTGAATACATTTATATTTGGCATCAAGAGGAGCAATTTTTAAATTCATACATCCCTTTAGATGGATAAAGTGGTCAGCATCCACAAACAGTCCTTAAGTGAATATAAAGAAAAGAAGGTCCCCATCCCCACCCATCCCCATAACCTACAGCCTTCTCTGCTCCCCCTCCCTGTTTCTTTGTCTCTTCTCTATCCAGCAATGTATATGACAAGAGTTGCATGCATTTCTGTGTGATGGCATTCATAGCTTGTCTTATTTTCTCCCTTTAACATTATATTTTTAAGATTTTTTTCATTATAAAAAGAATACATTTATTGTTAAGAAATGGCAGAGATTAATCAAAGAACTTATATGCATGTATGCATAACCCATGGACAAAGACAATAGTGCTGTGAAGGCCTGGGGAGGGGGCAGGAGCAGAGAGGAGGGGATCAAAGAGGGGGAAAAGGAGGGCATCTATAATACTTTCAACAACAAAGATAATAGAAAATAATAAATAAAGAAGTGAGACCAAAAATAAGATGTATAAAAAATGTTAATGATCTCCTCTCCCCTACTCTTCAATAAATCTTTTCCTCATAGGCAACTGAAATTAATAGCCTGGTGTGGAACCTTCCACCCTCTTTCCCTTGCTCCTACAAAAATAGGCAAGCAATTATTCATTCATTGAATAAAAAACAAATTGAGTACCTACTATGTACTGTTTTAGGCACAGGTGACATAGCAATAACCAAAATAGGCAACAGTCCTTTCTCTCATCAAATGCATATTCCAGTGGGAGGAGAAAGTCAGTAAACACCATACATGCATTTTTTTTTTAATAAAGATAGAATCACACTACACAACCTATTCTGCAATGTTTTCCCTAAAGATTCTATCATGAACATCACTCCAAGTTAGTACATATAGACCTGATTCATTCTTTTTAATGGACACATAATATTCTGTAGTGTACATATGCCATAACAATTACAAAGTGACTAAATCTTATTCAAATGATGGCTATCCAGAATGGATCCAGGGTTTTGCACTTAAAAACAATACTATAACAGCCCGACTGCCGTCGCTCAGTGGCTGAGCACTGACCTATGAACCAGGAGGTCACGGTTCCATTCCCGGTCAGGGCACATGCCTGGGTTGCAGGCTCGATCCCCAGTAGGGGGCATGCAGGAGGCAGCCAGTCAATGACTCTCTCATCATTAATGTTTCTATTTCTCTCTCCTTCTCCCTTCCTCTCTCTGAAATCAATAAAAACATATTTTTAAAAAACCACAAAAAACAATACTATAACAAACATTTCTCTCTGTGTGTGTATACATAAGTTTTAGTGCTGCTTTTATGTAAGATTTCAAAATATGAGGTTTATGGATTTATATGTTAAAAATTTTGCTAGATTCTCCAAGAGTTGTAACAATTAACGATCTGAAAAACAACATACCAGTTTCTTCACATCCTCATTAGTCTCAGATATTATTACCCTATTCTTAATTTTTGCTAAGCTGATGGATAAAAGTATAGCCACCCTAACTCTCTATAGTTGTTGTTTGCATGGTACATCTACGTCTAACTCTTTCTATCTTTGAAGCTAAAGTGTGTGTCCTACAGACAAACATATAGTTGATTCTTGTTTTTTTAAGAAAACTAGTCTTATAACCAGTGTTTTTTAAATTTATTCAGTCCATTCACATATGATGTTATTATTGATACGGTTGGATTTACATCTGCCATTTTGCTTTTTTGGGGGTGGTATATGACTCATGACTACTTTGTTTCTTTGTTCCTCCTTTATTTTGAATTTATTTTTGTAAATGGTCTGAGGTAGAAGTTTAGCATTCAGTCAGTTAGTTAACTATGCTAGCACCATTTTTTAAAAATTTTTTTAATATCTTTATTGATTACAGAGAGAGGAAAGGAGAGGGAGAGAGAGAGATAGAAACATCAATGATGAGAGAGTCACTGATTGAGCCCACAACCTGGGCATGTGCCCTGACCGGGAATCGAACCCTGATCGCCTGGATCCCAGGTGGACGCTCAACCCCTGAGCCACGCCCGGCTGGGCGCTAGCACCATTTTAAAAAATTGTCCTTTTCTACTGAATTGTCACACCTCCTTTGTCATATATACTGTTCTCATATATAGCTCACTATATTTGTGAAATTTCTATTCTACTCATGTATCTGTCTTCTCTTGTGTCAATAACTACTGTTTTATGTTAGTAACTTTATGGTAAATTTCAATATCTGCTATAGCAAGTCCCTCTTTATTTCCCTTCCTTTTCAAAATTGTCTTGGATAGTCTCAGACAATAATTGTTCATGTGACCTTGAAGTAAAAAAGAAAACACCAATGGTAATCCTTTTAAAATTTCACAAAACATGCATATACATGTATACATATACACATATGCAACACCTAGTAACTTGGTATGTGTGAAGTTAGGCAATTCATTTAAAGTAGAAACTGGTGAGTCGTACACAGCACATTAAAATGAAACAGAACAGGATAATTTATGTAACTTTCACTTAGTAATTGTTTTCTTAACATAGGGTGAATACCATCGAAAGTAGTGCTATCAGGATATTGAAAGAGAGAATGATTTCACGAAAAACTGACCTCATTCGTGTTTTCCAACTTCAAGACCGCAATAAGTCAGGTAAGAAAATTATGTAATGCTTACCATTTCTTAACGTACCAGGTTACATACAGATCAGTTTTCATTTTCTTTGCTTAAGATTTCAATTCTCTATTTTTACTACCGAGGAATGATAGAGATAAAAATAAAATATAATCCACTGTATGCTTGGAAAAAGGCATATTCCTCCTTTTCAGTAAGCTTCTTTCAACTTGAAAAACACACACACAACAACAACAACCCTGAATTTGACTTCTATTCTGGTAATATGTCAGACTAGACACTCTGGAAGGCCTGCCTGTTAGAAACAGCTACATTTTTAGAGGATACAGAATTGTAGGGTACTTACCAGCCTCACAGTAAGTATGATGAATCTCTAGGCTGCATCTCCTCTCTCCATGAAACTGATTTTAGACTTCTAAACTCCAGAAATCTAAGAGTATAAATTTCTATTATTTTAAGCCACTAAGTCTGTGGTAATTTGTTATAACAGTTATAGGAAACTAATACAGATGCCCACTGTCAAGATTCTGTTCAACATTTTACTAGGGATGTTAGCCAGTGCAATAAAACAAGTTAAATAAAACAATAAGTATTGGAAAGAAAAAATATTACTATATATTAGAGCCAATTCAGGAGATAGAAACACTGAAACTTATTATAAAGAATTACTAACTAGTAAAAAGGGATTAATTACTAAAAAAGAACTCTAAAGAATATAGGAAGTGTAGGGAACAGCTACTACCTCTAAGGCTAAGAGAGGACACCTAAGGAAGGAACAAACTTGAAAGAGTCCCCTACTCCCTATCAAGGCTAAGATTCAAACCTCATTGAAGAGGGTGTGACTGTGGCCCACTGCATGGAGTAGAAGTTCACTGAGGTATCTCAGGTCAGAGTTGGTCTGCAGCTACAGGGTCCGGACAGGAGAGGATGAAGCCACCCACTGTGGTGCCAGCAAAACTCTCTTTGGGCTCTGCACCACTATGTCTCCACACACTGCTGGCAAGGGAGGCACCACTGTAGTGACAGTAAAATTCACTAGTGAGTGGGTGCTACTATATTTCCCACACACCTCTGGCAGCCATACTACACTGTAGAAACAAGAAACAAAGCATACCCAAACCATTTCTTCTGCTGTGTCTTAGAGCATTCTTCCTGTACCCTCTGCTGACAAAGCCTAACATTATACCAGCTGCCCCCAAAAAAGAAATATGTACAGGGTTCAGTTTCAGTATCACAAAACAGGACAAAGAAGGGTACATTTGGAGCTGAGTGGGAATAAATTGATAATCGGTATAGCTAGCAATTAACTTTTAGATAATGAAAACCTTCAAAGATAGCATTCATAACAGATAATCAGGTACCAAGGAAGAAACCAAATGAATGATATACGAGATTTCTAAAATATTATTAAGAGAAGTGAAAACTAATTGAAATAAATGGGTAGATATTACTGTGTTCCAGGGCAGATGTTGTCAAGATATAAATTCTCCCCAAATTGACCTGTAGGTTCAGTGTACCAAAGGGGCATGCACGGAAATGTTCTTATCAGCACTGTTTGTGATAGCTCCAAACAAGAGATAATCCAGTGTCTACCAGCAGTAGAAAGGTTATATGAATTGTGAAGATTGTTTTATTTGTTTTCTGTTTATTCAAAATCATTTCAAATGAGCATATCTTTAATAATCAGGAAATATAAAGATTTATATTTTGAAAAACTACATATAATATTAGGGGATAAAAAGGTATTACCTGGATAAATGAAAAGTGAATAATATGCCAAAATGTTAAAAATAGAAGTAATCTTTTATCCTTTATATAATTTTTCTTTATATCCTTTTTGCATTTTCAAATCTCCTATTATAAACATACTTTACTTTGTTGATCAGAAAAAGGAGAAAGAAATCTAACACCCAAAGTCTGACGGCTTACACATAAAAGTAAGAGGAAGAGCTGTGGAACACCAAAGGCTTTCTTTAGTTGTTCCTCCCTTGGAGCTGTGGGGCCTGGTAGGACAAATTGAAAAGGGGAACAGGAGGCACCCAGGCCTTGAAACCCCAGGCTGCCCCTGGCTCCCCAGGGGAGGTTACATTTTTTAAATCAACCAATTAATAGGCTCTTTTTCTCTTCTCTTTTTTCTTTTCTTTTCTTTTCTTTTCTTTTCTTTTCTTCTTTTCTTTTCTTTTCTTTTCTTTTCTTTTCTTTTCTTTTCTTTTCTTTTCTTTTTTTCTTTTCTTTTCTTTTTTTCTTTTCTTTTTTCTTTTCTTTTCTTTTCTTTTCTTTTCTTTTCTT